GTTTCGTTAATCTCGTTTCGTGTCAGCAATAGGAAAAACTCAGTAGCATAATCTCCCACTGTCCGATTACCTTGACGTAAATTTTGGAGACGTTGGTACATTGTTCGTGCATAATTATATGGGAGAAAGGCACGCTTCATGTGTTTTTGTAATTTCTTCCACGAGGCAATCTTATCTTTTCCGGTACGAGCACGAGAGATTTTGAGTTGTTGCCACCAAGCAGCGGCTCGGCCTCGGAAGAGTGTAGCAACTAGAGTCACACGTTTATTATCAGGAACTTCCTTAAATTCCAGTATTTCTTCTACGGCTCCAATCCAATCCAAATATTCTTCTAGTTCGAGGCTTCCATGAAATTCGGGGATGTCAAGTTTAAAACCCGATTCCCATCGACGGTTATCTGCGGCGACCGGTCGACCTTCAAGAGGCACGGCGTGGGGCGCACGATGGCGTGGAGGTGGTGCATGCAACGGAGCAAACGGGTTCTCTTCAACGAACGCTTCGTCAACATCGGAACTGGACTCGTCGGCATGGATCGGTGGAGGCTGATTAGTGGCTTGCAGGAGTGCGAGTTGTTGTTGCAGTTGGACGATTTGTTGACGGAGCTCTTCTAATCCATCGGCAGGTGGACGGATGTCTTGCCGACGACGGGGTGGCATGACGGCGGGTGATCGACGACACCAGGAAACCAGCAACTAGCGGCGGCGACAGCAAAAGTTCGTGGGGCTGATGCAAGACGTGGGCTCGGAATTTGCGGGTTGAGCAGCGGCGATATGCGAAGCGATGGGACCTGTCTCTGATACCAACTGAAGCAGCAGAGATGAGTAAAAAGACAAAAAACTCAAAAAAAAAACAAAGCTTGTAGTCGTTGATTCAAGGGAATAATGCCGAAAGCAAGGAGAAAACAAGGAGTAGTCGTGGAGAAAACTCTGAATTCTTTATTGAGAAAAGAAGAAATAAAAAACTGCCCTATAACAGTCCTAGTCTAACTACTAATAGATAGAGGATGATCAATCCAAATTTGAAAAGCAAACAGAAGCTTATCTAAAACTGAATAGAACTAATCCTATTTTCTTTAAAATTTGAAAGCAACTAAATCTACGCTGCATCATTAAGTGACTTAATTTATACTCGAATTACTCTTCAAAAGGAACTCCGCCAATTCATTCAAGTACTAGTTTTGAAGTTCCACATTGCCAAAAATCTCCCTCATCGCCCTAGCCTTTGTGCTGAGTGGCTCACCTTCTTGGTCAACCATGACTCGCCGAATCGACTCAGCAACTATGTCACTCGTAAACGACCCGGTTTTATGATCCCGGGGAATTTCTAACCCGATTTTAGGGCCATGCAATAACCTAGCAACCAAACTGAGATCCGAGCTTCCACTAGGAAACAAAAACTCGGCCGAACCCGAGTGCCTCGATAACCGAACTCAAACTACAATTAGTCAAGAATCCGCCTACTGACGCCCTACCCCTCCAAACCAAGCCCCGACCCGAGACTCGAGATTCAAACCTGGGTGGAATTATATCCGGACCCAAAGTTCCTTCAACTAGCGGGTGATCATTTATGACCCAGATATAGGGCAACCCGGATCCACCCCATAGGCTAACTCGTGCATCAAATCTTGACTCAGGCTCAACTCAGTACCGAATGCAATGTAAATCACTGAGTTCTCTTCTTTATTATCAAGCCAATGCTTCAAACCTTCCCTTTCGTCTCCAATATTATGAAAATCATTCACTGGCAAAGTGGGCGGTAAAAACCCAACTGGTAGAACTGGTTTCTCGAAAAGCTTCCCGGGTAGATTCAGTAAGTCGGATTCAAACTCGGGACAGGTCCTCGTGACAACAAACGACAACCCTGAATCCCCTCTCCCAACCTAGTAAAATCCGACGCCTCCAAATCCATGCAGTTCCAATGACTCGCTATCTTGTACAACTTAAAAGCGACATTGCAAGCAAAGTCCGTCCACCTCGGGACAACGGTGAAGTCCTCCGGTGTCTGGCAATATCCACTCAACAGCTAGGACGGTGTTCCGGCGAACGCCATCGTCGTGGCGTCGAAGATGGCGAAGTAGATTGAGTTGATACCGAGTTGAGTGGCGACTCGCGGTAGCCAGTTGCATGCAAAGTCGAGGACCATCCAACTCACTTGAGAGTCCTTGAGGAACTGAGTCAAGGCGAGTTGGAGCTTGTCGTAGGCCTTTTTGAGGAAGGGGACCTTGTGGATCGGTAACTCGGAGGTTGACTCAGTGCCTTGAGGCAATCCATCTACGTGAGGAAGAGGAAGTGGGATCAAGGATATGTGATGGGAAAGGTTTTGGGGAATGAGTTTTATGAGGCGATTGAAATGTAAGAAATTTTGTGACCCTTTTGAGCTAAGAACTTGGAGGGCTCAAAACATGGCATTATGTGGCCATGAGCTAGCCATGGGAACATTGCTATATGAAGAACATTTTGGTTTTTGTTGGCCTCCATGGTTGTAATTTGTAAAGAGATCAAGAAAAGTTTAGGAGATGTATTAATTAGACGAGAAATTAATATCATTTTGTTTGGTCTGCGTCATTGAGTGACTCTGATTTGATTAAATAAGATTTCTAGTACTACCTTATAATTGTTAGCCCCAGGATGGGATAATCAAACAATTTATTTTATTTTTCTGAATACAAAATTGCAAATGCTACTGTAATCAATATGAACTCAGACCCCTTGTTAATTTCAATGTTGAAATTTGAAAATGATGTCTGATTAATTATATTATTATACTACACCATTTCAAATTTTTGAAATGTTTTTTAATTTACTTTTTATGTTTTAATGTGTGAATCAGTTAAATAACATGACGAAATGCGTGATTGGTTTAAGACTGTTAGAATGGTCATGATTTGCATTGGATCAATATTAGCTAGCTAGGAAGTGAATCAATATCCAATACTGGTGTGTTTTGAATCAAAGTTAACATTGCAGTGCTCTACGTACGATACATGTATTGAAAATTCCTACAAAATTGTTACAATTACTTCTGTTTGCAGTTCGATTTGTATTATTGTCGCCAATAAGCAATAGCGGTTGTAGCTGGAATATATTATTTGTTATCCAATCTCTCTCTTACAGGAACTAACGTTTGGTTCATTGATTAAAATCATGTGATTAGAACTATTTTTGATTTACATATATTTTTTATGAGAAAAAATAGTGTAACGAACCATGAATTATGATTCAAATTATGGTTTGAATCATCCAACCAAACATCTCAAAAACACATAGATAATGTCTTCGTAGTACAAAAAACAACTATTTCAGCACCGTCGGTGAGCCCCGCCGATTGGTGCCTGTTGGGACTATAACCAGTCAGACTGGATAAGAGTACTCTAATAATGTAACTGCTGTCAGGTTTTTTAGTTGGTAATTTTATTGGCAACTTTGTGAATTGAAAAAAAAAAAAAGATTTGTAGTTGGGAAAAGTAAAACTGACCCAATAGTTAATTTAACTTAAAAGGTTAATTAATAGGTCTTGAATTATTTTATTTTATATATATAAATTATTTTACATTTTTATTTTTTACGTGGGATAACACATATGTACTTTTCTCAACGCACTAAACACGAAGGTTGCAGAGATATTGCTCGTGATTTACCAAGTCAAATTCAAGAAGTGATTATGAGTTCAAATGTGAATTGAAATATGCAGCAAGTTGTATGGAAGATTTATCCAGATTTGGTTTGTAGATAAAGTTGTAGTTTTGAATCGGATTTGAAAACCAGGTTTATGATGCAGGTTATTTGTGAAGCTTATTTAAAGCAATTTTATTTTAAGGAAAAAAAAAAAAGGATAAAATCGTGGGTTTTGGATGGTTTTATCCAAATTTTTAATGTCGTATTCTTCTTCTTCTTCCCTCTCGTTTTCGTTTCTTCATTTTTGTCGTTTCAAGTTTGTTTGGTTCACCTTTTCATTTGCAGTTTGTAGTTTTGTACTTTTATGTTGTCGTTTCTTATTTAATATTCGCTTCCAAGTTTCTTGTTGTTTTCGTACTTAATTACCGCATGCCGCCTCTTACCGTCGTTTTTAGTTCAGTTGTGTTTTTGTTGCTATTTCCCAAGGGGTGGGGTGGCCTAGTAGTAGTTAACTACCATAGAAGATCTATGATTAAAGGTTTTGAGTAGTCTTTTTAAAAAGTTTTTATATGTGAAAGTTTGCTATAAAAAATAAGCATGTTATCCGTTTTCGTCCATTGTTTTTGCTCCTTTAGTAGGACCTTTTTGTTGTTTTAGAAGCGTGCTGTCACTTTCTCCGTTTTTGTCATTTTGCAGTTTTGTTGTCGTTTTAACATATTTTATTGTCGTTTTCTGTGTTTCTTTAGAGTTGCCCCTTCGATTAAATAACAATGAAAATGAATGGGTGTTCCTAACCATACGTGTGTATCATTAAGGGGGAAAAAGACCTTAAATTTCGTTCTTCTTTATAGTATTGTTTTTTCAACCTTTTAAAGCAGAAGACTGATCCAAATAAGAAAAATGAAATTATGAAATAGCTATAAGATAAACAGAAATGACTACTACTCAAACTCACCCAAAAAGGAGCCAAAAACAAAAAAATAATAAGCAAAAGCTGGAGGAAGAAGAGAGAGCCAAATATAAGGGAGAATTTCAATACTGAAACCAAATTACAAGGAAGAAGAAATAGAAAAAAATGGAGGGGCCAACGAAAGAAGAAATCAGCTTTTCTCCAACAGAACCAACAGCTCTTTTTATGTGTAGCAACAAATTTCAGTAACTAGAGTGCGCATTGCTTTTATACCAAGGCCCAGAGTTCTACTCTCACAGAAAAGGCAAAACAAAAATTCTGACTTCTAAACCATGAATAATAGCTTGCAGCTTCACGGGAATTAAATGCTTATAACTTTTTTAAGCAATCAAGACATATCAACGCCATTAGGAGACACAATTCTCTCATATTTCCCACCATGGAAAAGAGGAAGAAAGGAAAAGGTTAGGTGAGCAATCTTGCAGTGTTGAATATATAGAATGCTTACAGTGACAGTCCAAAATTTATTCCAGAGATGACATGAAGTAGAATATAATTTCAGACTAATAAAAAACCTGAAAAAAAAAAATTAAACAAAAACAATTATATTCATATTTGATATATATATATATATATATACACACACACACGCACACTAGTAATTTCCTCACTAAGCAGTTGCAATGAAGTGAGGAAGTAAAGCAGACTCAATGGTGGATTCATCCCACTCCAATCCATCCCACCACTCCTTGGAACCATAGATTGTTGGCAAATTGGAGGCATTATTGTGTGCTTTGATTGGTAGCTTTTTCAGCCTTGGACAATCAATCACAGCCAATCTCTCCAAGCAAGGAAAAGACAATGCCCATTGACTAATACTCCTTAGTTTTGGGAGATCTCTGATTGATAATGTTCTAAGGCTTGGAAATCCCTCTTCCACTCTTTCATTCCCACTTACCACTTCTTCAATTTCCTTGCAATAAAACAGATAAATCACCTCTAGTCTTGGAAGATTCAGCACCCATGAAACATTCTTCAGGTTGTGGCAATACCATATGTTGACATAACGAAGATTTCGGAGACTGTCCCGGGTCACAGGATTCCTCCAAACTGTGGTTAAGTTGGGAAGTTCATGCAAAGCTAGTACCTCCAAGCTACTTGGCATGTTCTTTTCAGATATCCCAACATCAATTTCAAGGTACTCCAAATCACAACAATTATAGATGCTAAGCCTTCTCAGTACCCTGGAAGTGGGTGATGGGATAGTTAAGTGAAATAAGCCCTCACATCCTTTAATGTACAGAAACCGAATTCGTTGTAGTAAACTGTTTAAACCGGAAAGTTTTTTCAATGTAGCTGATCCTGTCACACTGATGCCTAGACTGTTGAGTTGTGTCAAGCATTCCAAGTCATTAAATCCAATCACTTGATCGCATTCGTCGGAGCTGCAATTATGTTCTTCCCATTGGCTGTAACTGTAGTATAAGTTCAAGGATCGCAGTTGTCGGAGTCCTGATATAGCCTTGTGTGGAATGTCTTGCAGTGAATAAGTGCGTTGCAGATCCAAGTGCTTCAGATTTCCCAGATTTCCTAGCTCCTTTGGTAATGTGGACAGCTTGGTACCAGACAGATCAAGATGTTGGAGCTCAACTAGACAGCCGATACTTTCGGGGATTTCTCTGAGACTGGTGAGTGACAAATCCAGGACTTTCAGGGAAGACATAAACTGGAAAAACCCACTTGATATTTTGTTCAAGCCATTGTTCCATTGGAGTAACAAGGTTGATAGATTGGGGCATTTAGGTTTGTGTGACAACATTGTGATTCCATTATCCAACAAAGAAATTCTTTGGTACTCATGCCATTCTTCAACTCTAGGTGCTTCAACAAGCCCCGAACTCGCCTGCACTAGAAACTTCTTCCCAGACTCGTATTTAGATGCGATCCAAAGAGCAAAACTTCGAACAACATCATGCATTTTCACTTGGGTTTTCTCTTCACCTCTTTCCAATAAGCAGGCAACTTCCAGATCTCCAATGACAGCATATCCTTCATTATGGACATCTCTTCCATCAGAGCTGTCTAGGAATCCTTCCCCTATCCAATACTCCACAAGCTGCTCTTTTTCTATTGAGAAGTCCTCAGGAAATAGAGAACAGTACAAAAAGCAGGTTTTCCTTGTGTCATCCTTTAATCTATCAAAGCTGAAATATAAGAGAGAAAACACATCATCTTCCATACCTCGAATTTCCGAGGGAGATTTGCTGAGAACTTCTTTTGCATTCCTCCATTCTGGTTCTGACTTTTTGTTAGCCATGGCCCTTCCAATGGTGATCAAAGCAAGCGGTAAGCCGCCACATCTCTTGACAATTTTCCGAGCATGAGGCTCAATGGACTTCCATTCTTTAAGTTCTCTTGCTCTAACATTGCTGCAAAAAAGACGCCAGGAATATTCTTCTCCCAAGAACTCCACTTTTAACTTCCTATCCGCAGCCATGTCGGTGCAGACATCCTCGGACCTTGTGCTGAATATCAATTTGGACTTGTTTTGCTTGTCTGGAAAGGGAATTCCAACCTCCTCAAATTTGACTTCTTCCCAAACATCATCCAGTAATAGCAAAAACTTCTTCCCTTTCAATACCCTTTGTATCTTAGAAGCTCTTCTTTGTGTTGCTTCATTGACTTCTGAAGTCAACCCCAGCCTTTCCTCAATTGCCTGCTGGATTTTGTCAGCTGCAAAGTCCCTGGAAACAGTCACCCATATCACCACATCAAAATGATGTGTTTTGGTCAGAAATCCATTGTTTATAATCTTCAAAAGTGTGGTCTTTCCAACACCACCCATCCCATAAATTCCAATTATTCCAATACCATCTTCTTCAAGATGCTTGTAAACTTGTTCCAACATTACATCAAGCCCAACTGCCGGCCTGCTAGGGATCTCCTCAACAGATTTAGAAGTCAACCCGTTATTCACCACAATGTTCACATGATCTAAGCCTTTGTTTTTCAGTCCTCTTATTTCCTCAAGCATCTTATGAACTCTCTTGCTCTTTTTGTACACCGAAGGACAGTTTAATGTGGAGCATCCAGTGCGTTGTCGTCGTTCGGAATCTTCGGTTAACATCAAACTTGCTTTATCTTCTGCAGATTCTTCTCTTTGCAGCCACCCTTTTACTTGGCTCGTGATGGTTGCTCCCTCCACCTCAGCTTTCTCAACTTGTCTCTTCACATCATCCCTCATCGCTTTCAGCTCATCCAGTTCACCTGCGAGAGTCTTGATCTGCTCGTCGACATTCAATGCAGGGCTTATCTCCTTGGCAATGGAGTCGTACATGCAACAAACTAGGCTGGAAATGAAATTCACAAGAGTCCCAGCATCCATATTGGATATAGAAAAAAAAAAGAAATGAATAAATTTGCTTTTGAACAATAAAGGAAGAACAGGGAATAACAATGAGAGAGTCTCAGAAGTCCCAATTATTGGTTCAGTTGTTCAGACTTTTAAGATGGCCGCCATTTTTGAAAAGGTCACAGCTTGACTTCATATAGTACGCTGTTCAGAGTCAAGGATACCAAACTCCTCGTTTTTTCACTAATTACTAGTTGTTGGTGTTGGGATTTGTTTCTCAATTTGTGTATTGATTGTAATTGAATTTGATTGGCATTATTTTGGGAATATTTTGCTGGGATGATTGCGTTTGAAAATGTCTATGCAGCTGGCAAGTTTCTTTTGGCAGATTTCAAAAAATTTAGAAACTTGTTTTAGTTTCTATTTTTCTAAGTCAACCATTGATTCAAAGATGAAAAATTGATTTGATTGATTCTTGATTGAGATTTCATAGCTGGATGATCTTCCTATGTTGCCTAAGAACGTTTCCATGTTCGTTTATCAGTTTTGAGAAGATTTCAGAATTAAAGAAGATTGATTCGTCTGGTTTTGAAAAAGTTGGCCGTAACAGCTATGTTGCAGTGTTGTTGCAACAAGATCTGCAACAGATGTGGTTCAGCGAATTAATTGAAGATGTGTCAAGCTATTCACAGCTTGCTTATTTATTGAAAGTGTTCCTTAAGTCTTTGTACGTCTCTTGATGAGTTTTTATTAGGTTGTGAGACAGGGGTGAGCACTTGTATTGAGAGAGATGATTTGAGTATTTTTCGGGAGAAAAACTTAGTTGGAGAGATTCCAATGTTAAAAAGTCAAGGGGATCTCGCTGTTCAAGTCCATTGGGAAATTGCAAGGTCATAGGCGTCTTCTTAGAGAGGGAGTCTCGGGTAGATTAAATCCGATTGAATTGTAAAAGAGTTCTTAGTGGATTGTTCATCATCTGGGCGTGGTCCCGCGGAGTAGGGTGTTACCGAACCGCGATACCATTTCTCTCGTGTTCTTTTATTTTATGTTTCTGCATTATTCATATTGTCTTATAAATTGTTAAAAGACTAAAACCGGTATTTACAGTTAGAATTTGGATAAATCGTATTTTGATTCTTCTCCGTTTTCTTCTTGTTCTGTTAAGCCGGCAGCCATTAGGTCAATAGACTCTCTTCCTACTTGGTTACACGACTTTATGATCATTGACTTGTTTTAGGAAATTATTGTTTATTCGTGACGCATTTTAGTTATTTCAAAGACTAGTGGCCCGTTTAATTTACTGACTTAAATCTATGATTTTGACTCTATTTTCTTACAACAAAATTGAATCAAAACAGTTCTCGCCAATAAATTTTCTAATAAAATTTGGATTGAGAATCAAAATTAACCGCGTGTACCAAACAGGCCATATAAATGGTGGCCAAAAAAAAAAATTATAGAAAGAAAAAAAAAAGTTTCTTGTTTTGGGGGCACAAAAACGTTTTGCAGCTTAGGCATAAAAAGTCCGGGAAAGGATATGACTGTTAAATGTTGTTCATGTTATTAGAAAATAATATTGTTTAGACAACAAAATATAGGACGTGTATGATGAAAACAGAGAAAAAGAGGTAGATAGGTGAAGATCTATTTTTTCTGAGGCTCAGAAAAACAAAAGTAAATAGTAAAATTATCGTTAAGACAACAAAATGTAGGACGTGTATGTATATAATATCTACACAAATACCTAGTAACTATCCAAAATGACGAGCGGGCTACTACTGTAGTCTAAAATGTGAACAGGTTATATGGTGAGATAAGTTCTTATCATGGTTGCTCCTGTGGGGTCAGAAAGAAGATGACTGATGAGGCTCATTCTCAAAGTATTGGGTGCTATAACAAACATACAAAATGCAAACACTACGAGATCGGCGGAGGAGAGACTTGAGCCGAGAAAGCCTTGCCACATCCTGCAAAAGGAAACAAATCCATCAGTTACTTGAAAAGCAAGCAATCTTTTAAACTTACTTTGAGAAACAGGTTTTCCTGTTAAAAATAAAAACATTGGGTAAAATAGTTCAACACGCAGTTTATTTTTGAGAAAAAAAACCCGTTTATAGGAAGTGTATCCAAGGTTTATACTTGCATAAATGTAAGAGAGAAGATTGATCATACCAATTAGGTAATCTGAAGAAAGTGTGGAAGAATGTCCTGATGCCCTCAATATCCAGTTGCAAAATGAGTGCTAATCCAAAAAGGAAGAAGGCCCTCTGGCGTTTCCTTTCTTGTGGCCAAAGAGTATTCCAAGCTGTAAATAAATAAATTAGAAAGGACCTATAAGTAAAATTTCAATGCAGGAGCTGCTGATGCAAACAAGTATATACATAACGCAACAATCAAAAGTGTAAGACTTAAATACCTTGCATGGAGATATTCCCATTGTCTCTTTGCTGGCTAAGAATGCCCTCAGAGTGGCCCTGCTTCAAAATATTTGCTATAACAGAAGCATATTTTGGAGCTTCTGACAAAGATCTCACAACTGAATAGCCTGTTTGTGAAAGCAAAAATATTGAGGACCCCTTTCCAGATAGCAGGTTTAAAAGGGGAACAAATTGGTAAATCCAGATTTTCTTACCCGTGGCGGGGTGTACCATGCTGGCAGCCGCACCAAATGCAAGGTTTTTTTGCTCTGTATTGGGTAAGGATCCACCTACTGGAATATAAGACCATTCCTGCACATAACAACAAGAAACTTAAAAGATGTACAGCTATATGTGCACGCAATAACCAAAAAGATGTAAATTCTTGAATTATAATCTTCAAGAAACTTAAAAGAAAACATATCTAAACGAGAGAGAGATTTTGTTCAAATAAAGAAATAAACGATAAGAATTGTAGCTTGGACAAGAAAATAAGGCACCTCTTCATAAGCTTTTACAATTTGGATCCCCATTGTTTTCAACCTTGACAAGAGCTTTTTCTTTAATAAATCAAAAGGCATGGCATCTTTGGAAGCCAAACAAGTTTCCTGAAAATGCATATTTCCAAATATTTTCAATTAGTTCTAATGGGTAACATAACATGAAAAAATTTAATGTGCAGTGAACAAACCTCAAAGAAGACTCTTGTTGGAGACATGGGCATGGCGTAAAGAAATGTTGGGTACTCTGCTTCTAGGCATGGAACTTTTTCCTTCATGTAGTCCCTATAATCCATGAAAACCATAAGGCCGGGGTCATATGGATTATTTTCCACCTGAAATTTGTTAGGCCAGAAAACGGATAGAGTTACTGAATATTACAATCTTGCAGCTCCAAAGAGCAATCCAAGCTTATAACTTCGCCACAAAGAAGACAGCGTCATAGTAATAATGGGAGGAAGCTAGAGTAAACTATCAGGGAAGAAAAGGCAACGTTTTACCATTACATTCAACTTTGATAAAAAACACAAATTAAGTTTGTAACATTTTAAACGCCAAAAAGATGAACCAACATATTCATTAACATTTAACAGTATTCTTCTAACCAGCCACTGAATCAACACAGCACAAGTACGAACTAGTGAAGTCAAATCATGTAACACGCACGTAATCGAATATCCAAGACAATTATTCAGAAAAATATAAGACGGGGATTTGCATGTGTGACAACATTCACATGCCAAGAAGAAGAGAAGTGAAGCTATCAATCACAAATCTCACATAATACAATGAAGTATTTGAAGTTCGGATAGATTTTTAACACAATATAAACAATTTAGATATTTTCCGTGTTTGGAATTGTTCTTGTTTATGTTTTTCACGTTTTTCGAGAAAGAAAAAATGAAAATGATTCCAAAACGGCATTTGGCACAATTAAAGACAAAAAACGGAAATGAAAACAATTTTTTAGTTTAGTGTCAAATGGGAGAGAAATGAAAAATGACTTTTTAGTCGTTTTTCATTTCTTTCCCATTTTACACTAAATGAAAAACGACTTTTAGTCGTTTTTCATTTTTTTGTTTTCGTTTTTCCTCCCTCGAGCACAGAGAGAGAGAGAGAGAGAGAGAGAGAGAGACATTAATGGGTTTTTTTATACTGAAAACAATCTCTTGATAAAACTACCAAACGCATTTTCAAAAATGATTTCTGTCTGAGATTGAAAACGTTTTCATTTCTATTTTCATACAAAAAACAAAGTCATTTTAGAACGAGTTCCAAACGCGCCCATGTATCTAAAGCCATATAATCCACATTCCTACCTCAACCTCCACACCATAAGCTGTTTGGACTGACACCTTTGGACCACCCACCTCATACTGCAGTAGTTTCCCTGAAGCAGCTCCTGATGCAACAGTAGCAAGCCTATAATACCATGTTAGAATTGGAAAGAAGCTATATCATAGCTATATATTTAAGTCTTCATGTATGTTACAGCCAATAACTTAAAACAAAATGGGTCAGAAGAGGAAGAAGAAGAATAGTGAAAGGAAAGAATTACCTGCAGGGAACAACAATATCTTGTTCACAGACTACAAGACTATGACCTTTGGCACCTTCGTCAATGCTTTCCACTCTCAAATTAAGATACGAAACACCTGACTCGACACACCTAGGAAAAATTAATACAGATTATGCGTCTACAACACCATGTACCCAACAATACATTTTTCCACTGAAGAACTGATATCAGTACAATTGACATAGAAACTACGACATTGTCTTACCTTCTCAAGAGCTCCTCATGAAGCATATGCCGGCTAACTCGTCCATAAGCACGGCCAATCAGGATTGGATCATCGTTGTCGAGATATACAATGGTGTCCTGCCAAACATGCTCAATGCACCCAGATAGCCCGAGATCTGAAAATAGTACATAACTCTAAATTAGGTGAGAAGATAACTAGAGTATGCTTATAGTTATTGATGATCAAGTTTCCCACGTCATGCAACTTGCAAGGCTTTCCAAATAGCATAGCGTTCACTTCCACAAGAAAAGCTTATTAGAATATAAAACCAAACTTTTAAGAGAATACGTAATTGAAACTTATATTATACTCAAATGTCAAGCAAAATCTTAAATTCAAAGTTCGAAGGCAGGCATTGCTATAATAATAATAATAATAATAATAATAATGGCTATAATAATATTATACATAATGGCATTATTTATAAACACACAACACTACGTCATCAAATTTCCATATTTAACGAGAAACCATAATGGAAAGTAACCATTAAAAGCTCGTGTGTGTGTGTATATAGACAAAGTCTTTAAACCGGCACCTACTATTTACCGGATTGAAACGGCAGTTGTATAATTCAACATAAATCGTGTATATTTACATGTAAAGATGTACAATTAAGTATAAGTTTTGTATATTTACACGTTGTACAAGTCAGCATATGCCTTATACAATTTAGCATATGGAAGTTGTACAATTGTAAAAATATATAAGTTGTACGATAAGTTGTAGAATTCATCATATGTCTTATATATTTACATACAGTAATTGTACAATTCAATATAAATCTTGTATAATGTCTTCCGCCGGATCAGTCATACAAATAGCGCCCGCCGGACGGAAGACGTATATATATATATTATGTGTTTCTTTTCTATTACCTTTGAATTCATCCTCCCAAACACCATAATTGTTCGTAAAAGGAAGATCAGGTCCAATAAGTCCAACATTCAATCCTAACTTAGCAGACTCTGCAGCCAGAGCAAGACCCGCCGGACCGCATCCTATCACCACCAAATCCAGTATTTGATCTCCAACTGAAATTGGCGGCAGCTACAAACAGAGGGGGAAAAAACAAAAAATTCAGTTAAAAAAAAAAGAAGAATTAAAAGCAAAATAACAATTCGAATCTAGAACAAAATCATAAATTCTAATCTCGAGACTGAAAATTCAAACAAGTACGGCCGTTTCCACAATTCAAAAATATCATCAACTTTAGAATTCTCCAATATACCTAGAGAGAGAGAGAGAGAGCTAGAACCTTGTCAGAAAGCCTAGACTGCTTCTCCATAGCCTTGTTCTGTTGCATTTGTACGAAAACCAGCTCAGAGCCACCGCCTTTGATGTAATCCTCCTCGTCGGCGAAACCTTCCTTGACAGCCACGCAACTCTCGCCCCCGGCATTTGCCGCCGTCACATGCAGCGGAGAACGCCGGCTGAAATCCAGCCGGTAAAACCGAGCTCGCCGTTTCCTCACCACGCCTCCTCTTCCCCACCCCCAACCTGGACAAAACGACAGCGTCACCGACCCAAAGCTCCGAGCTCCGGCCCCAAAACACTCCATCACCAACATTTCCTCTTTCCTCTTAGCTAACGCCTTATCCTCAGTCCATCACAGATAAAATGGAAAAGAGTGTATATATATATATATATGTATGTATGTATAGATATATATATATAGTTTTTTTTTTTTTTTTGGTGTTTTATGTGAGAGGAAAAGAAGAAAAAACAATGGCGGTCTGGTCTGGTGGTTGGGAGGTTTGTGGATAGGCTGCTGCTGCAGTAGTCCGTAAATGATAGGGGGGAAGGCGGGGAGTTATATGGTGTGGATTTTAATTTGCTGATTTGTCGAACAGTCATCCATAAGCGACCGCGTGGAGGAATTCCATTGGTTTGGGACTTGGGAAAAGCAACCCTTATCGAAAAAAGCCTATTGTTTTCGCTCGTAGTTTCGGTGGGGCCCTTTGCATGCCAGCTTCGCGGGTCCACCAGCTTCCAGTGAAAGCTGCGATCTCTTGTCCAAAAGAAAACGAGGGATCATTTTTCGGAAAGAGGAAAGCGATATAAATGAAGGAAAATATTTCAGCAAAATGAAGGGAAATATCCGATAAATTTAGCACTTTATTATTTTTTATTAAATGGATATTCTTGTGTTCCGGAAATTTCATTAGAGTGTCTTGTTGTTTTAAAAAAAATAATATATTGTTCAATACTCCTATCACATGTTATTTAGAATTATAATTTATAATTAAGAATATTTTAGTAAACCTAAATAATCACAGTACAAATTAGTTGTTCAAAAACAATTTTTAATATGCTTCTCAAATTATATTGTTGAGTAATGAATTTTTAGAATCTGTTAGGGTCCAAGGGATTTCTAGGTGTCAAAACTCCCTAGCTCACTAGAGTATAATCTAATAATTAAAAACAAAAAAAAAACACCACTTCCAATAAAAAGCTAATAAAAATTCTTAATTTATTAAAATACAACATTCTCCACAATTTCCTTTGATTACTATTTAATTAATGTCATAGACAAGTATCTTTTGGGAACTTTCTATAAGAAGATAGTTTTTGGGGACCTCATGCACAAGAAAACCTTTAAATATCGAGTTTTGATGGTATTTAATAGAAAATAAAGAAATTGTGATGTGTGTCATTTTTAATCACCTCTTTTCATAAATGATGGAACTTTTTTTATTTTATGAAAATGACCGTTTTGTTTATATGAGTTCATCAATGATTGACCAATGGACTACAGTTAATCAGTGATTGATCTACGGTCAATCATGATTGATCGATTCATTATTAATTTATCAATAGTTTATCATTAATAAGCATGTAACTTGTTGATTGAAATTGATTAATTATTAATTAATTTTAGTTAATTATTAATTAGTTTTAATTAATTATAAAGAATAATTACATTAATCAGTGATAAATTTGAGTCAATCAGTGATTGATTGTCGAGTTAATCAGTGATTAACCACTAAATTAATGAAAACAGTTATTTTTGCAAATTTACAAAATTTCAGCTATTTATGAAAAAACTTTTGAATGCCATTTGGGTTAAAATCCCTATAAAATATCATGCCGGGACTAACAACGTTAATTAAATAGTCTAAGGCCCTGTTCATTTCGCTGATTCGAGTTTAGAATTTGAGTTTTGCTACAGTAAAAAGCTCTCACAAACAATCACATCTAACTTTTTTGCTATAAAAAGCTCTCACATAAAATCACATCTCAACTCGAATCAGCGAACTAAACGGGCCTTAAAAATTTGTAAGTTCCTTACTCTTACTTATTTATTATTTACTCATTTGATCGGTTGGTATAATAGTTTTAAACCAGCAGAAAAAAAAAAGAAAAAGAAAAAATAGTTTTAGTGACAATGTGAACCCCTAACTGCGTCAAAAGAGGTATATGTGACATTGAATCATATCTCTTTCTATTGTTGGTGGCTCGGGAAGACCCTAATGAGAAGTTTAGGTTGCGTTCTTTTCAATAATTCTAAATTCAAGATTGGAGTTAAAAAAGTGAGTTTAATTGGAATTGTGTTTGAAATTTGAATTGTGTGTTCACTTGGACAATTTGTGAGATGTGAACTTGAGTTTTGTGTTCACTTTGACAAAAATATAACTCCAAAATTTTGCAAGTATTGACATGGATTTTTTGACTACACATTAATACACCTACACTCATAAATAACAAAAACGTCCATAAGTTCATTAATACACCTACACTCAAAAATGTTAACATCAAACTAGCACTCCAGAATGTGTTCACAAACATGTCACTTAAGCCTCCTTAAAAGGGAAACAAATCCGATATGAGTAGGGTGCTTACGTGAATCACCAGAACCGGACAATTAACAAAGGGAATTTTGTCAATGTTCTGCACCACATACACAAAAACAATCATCAATACACCTTCCGTAAAATATTTCCATTTGCAGTGTTGTCATTTCATCTTCCTTTCGCGTACATTTTCTTTTTTTCCCGTAATTTCTCAATTTATTCCTCAGTGGCTTTTACTCTCCTTAACAAATCAACTTGATTAATCCTTGTTAGAGCAGGATCGATCTAAATGATATGTCCACATTCTGAATTAATGCATTTAAAAAAAAAATGGAGGCCCAAACATTTTAGTCAAACCAATTTGGAAGGAGCTACTGATATGGTAAGAAAGGAAGAACGCGTTTTTATCAAAAACCAGATAAAAAAACCAAAAACTATTATTATGCATAATATCACTTCCACGCAACGGAAACCAGAAGATTCAAACTCTTTCAATCCCAAAATTAGGGGCCAAGACATATTCGTAAGCATCATCAAAAATCAAATGGCAAGCAACAGTTGGAGAGTCATTACCGTGTTTGATCCTGTGGAGGACAGAGGCTGCTCTGCTTCGATTCAGCCCAAAAGCGACCCCGACGGATTTGCTGCAAAAGTTCACCGACGGCAACGACAACGAAAGCACCTGTATCGGAGACAACGGCCACGCGGTGGGAAACGACGCCTCACACTACATCGACGGAATAATTCAGCCAGTCGAGTCAGCCTCACTCTATTCGGCGCAATTGTCACCGTTTTGAAAACTCACGAAGACGGGCAAGAAAGCGAAATGGATCTGGGTATGTTCTTTGGCTCAGAATCACGAATTCATGTGTGGTAATGACGGATTTATGGGTGAAAGAGGAAGGGAAAAGCTAGGCCCCCTCGATTTGCAGAAGCCCAGCGAGCGGACTGTGATGGAGCACCTTTCTCAGGGAATCCGACTGAGAAATCAGGCTGGAGGAGACGGTGGGAGAAGAGAAAGCTTCCCCTTTCTCGTGAGCCGGGCAGGAACCAGATGTGAAAGGAAAGAGAGGACACAACGGTAAGAAACACTGTGCTGAAACGTGATTCTGCAGAGGACACTGTAGCATACAGACTCGAGTAAATGGAATTCAAGGGGGTAGTTGATGTTTCAAAACTCGGATTAATACTCGAGTTTGCGATGTAATGTGAGTTACTGAACGCCACATTACACCCAAAAACGACTCTGAGCTGGGCCAACTCAAGTTGAATAGCCTAAACGAACGCCCCTTTATTCTTATTGAGAAAAACGCATCTCCGCCGTACCAACTTTGAAAAAATAAAACACAAAAAATTTTAAATTATACATATTATTGTTATATTTTTTAAATGTAAATATTACATTAAATTAATATCGTGTTGTACTTTTTAATATAATAGGTCTAAAAAAATTTGATTCTGTCAGAAGACCAAAGCAAATGATCGTCTATATCCACACAAAGAAATTGTTGCATTACTTCCAAATTTCTATAAGAAATCAATTATCAAAAAATTAAAGTCTCGTTCATTTTACCATTCGAGTTTTTAGTTTTAAGTTTTTATAATAAAAAATTCTTAAAAAATATCATATTTAACTTTTTTTAATTAAAAATTCTCAAAAAATATATCACATTTTAACTCAAATTAAAAATTTAAATCTGTAAATGAACGAGACATGAAAATGTTTCGTAAGAAATGACATCCACAGAAAATAAAAGTATTAAGATTCGTGATTAGGATTGGATTAGGACTATCTATCCAAAAAAAAATCTCTTAAAAAGTCTTACGTACATGTCTTATCAAAATAAATACTCTACACTAATGATCTACTCTATCTCTGCTTAATTTTTGTATATTAATTAATGTGATGTATAAATTATTATTTTTTTATTAATAAATATAATAATTTTTATTAATTAATATGACAGTATTTCACGTACTACAACAACTAATATAAGCTTAAAATTTTCAAGAGTACTAATATTATTAATTTTCAAGAGTACTACTCTATCTCCACGCGTTCTTGTCATCATGTGGGTCCCACATTGCGGCTCTGATTACTCAAACGCATTTTAGGAGGTCAGAGACGGGAAGAATACGGCGTCGTTTAAAAGGCGAGTTCCCGATTACGAAAGAGTCAGAGTCGAAATTTAAAATAAAAAAGAGGAAATTATTATTATTATTTTTTTTGAAAAAAAAGCAGACTCTCTGAGATCAGATGGTAGTAGCCTAGTAGGACAGTTCGTATAGCGGAGGAGGAGGAGGAGGATAGGACGAGGAGAGAGAGAGAGAAGTTAGAGAGAGAGAGATGGGGAATCCGAAGCAGAAGTGGACGTCGGAGGAAGAAGAAGCGCTGAAAGCGGGAGTGGCGAAACACGGAACTGGAAAGTGGAAGGATATTCAGAGAGACCCCGAGTTCAATCCCTATCTTCTCAATCGCTCCAATATTGATCTCAAGGTCTCTTTCTCTCTCTCTCTCTTCGTTATTTATTTTATTTTTGTCTGTGATTTTTTTTTTTCTGCGTTCGAAACGCAGGAATGGGTTTTTGGCCTTAATCAAGTTTTTTTTTCGGCAATAGTTGTTAAATTTGTTGACTTCCAGTTCACCGAGTCATTATTACTGACCATAAATTTGTAGCTGTTTATGTGGCCAAGAAGTTTGTTGAAATTGATGTGAAATCGCAACCATTTTTTGATATTAGTGTGCCGGATTATGGAGATTTTGTCCTTTTCTTTAATAACTAATTATGGTTTATTGGAGAATATATTGACATAATATGAGCTATCAGCAAGAAGATAGATAAATCTTATAAATTGTTCTTGTGTCTAACCTGGGACGAGTTTATTTACTTATTTATTTTGGGGGTTGCACAGGATAAATGGAGGAACATGAGTTGTAGTGCCAATGGGCAAGGACCCCGGGAGAAGTCAAGAAACTCGAAAGCAAAAGCGAACACAGATGTTCCGGCTGCTCAACCGTCCGCTGCACAGACTGCCACTACCGTTCCAGCTGCACGTGATGCAGCAGCGGCCCCAAACCTGGATGATTCTTCTAAAGGCGCATCGGACGGAAAGAATTTCTCAATGTACGAACCGTTACTTGTTCTAGCCTCCTTGTTCTGTTTTTAGTGAATGTTATGACATAAAGAGCATGGTATGCTATGAAGTTTTCACCGCATAGTGCATATGTTTTCATTAGACAAAACAATATCAGAAGTGAGGGATGATGAGTGAAAAAACATGTATTTGTGATTTGTGATACGGAAGAAGATAGTTTATAGGATCTTGTAATATGGCACCAATATGCTGATCGTATAGCCAGCTAAATTGTCAGGAAAGAGGGATTTCATTTGATGTATGTGAAGCCTAAGGCATCATTCCAGTAGTAACTAGATGAAAAATAGGCAACTTCCTAATCGAAGAATGCGATATTTAACTAGTTCTGATTGTTAGATAGGGATTGCTATGTTAACATCTAATCCATTGATGTAGATCTTCTTTTGGATGTTTTTTAAGGATACTCTGCCATAGCAAAGTCTCCCTTCTCCCGTGTTTGATTACAATACATAAGCATGCTCTCATAGCCATTTAGAACTCAACAGTCAACATAAAGTTTGACTAATGGGAAACATAATTTTGGGTTAGAAGGTTTTGTACCAACAGTCAAGCATAATGCTGGCTTATGTGATTGTCTCCAGATTAACATCTTAGTTAACTGTCTGACTGGAACAGGATTGTACTCTTGCTATGCAGTTTACGAATTTACAAAAATTCTCTACTGAAAATCAATATTACAAACAATTGTTTTTCCAACATTGTCTCTATGGTTTATTTTACTGCTGTTTTTGTCCACTTTCTTTTTTTTTTTTAATGTAATTCCACATCATCCAAAATTTCCCTAATGCTTTCCTTTTCTTCTTGGCCTTTATATTTTCTGTTGTATGATGTATATATGTATTACAGGTACAATCAAATGATTTTCGAAGCACTTTCTACCTTGAAAGAACCAAATGGATTGGAAACTAGTGCAATTGTGAGCTTTATCGAGGTATGCTTGAGATTACTAGCAAAAGGTTCTCGAAATCAAGGTGTAATTTGCTTCCAAGGATAAAAATGAAGAAATGCCATTATAATTTGTCTGGTTCAAAGAAAATACGCTTATGTTATGCAAGTTAAAGCAGACGTAAAATAAGTTGAAAAGCACAGTGAGATATTAAATTATGCACAAAAAGAACAAATAAGAGTTTTTGTGGAATTAGCTAGTGTTAACTCTCACCTGAATAAGGATTTGAAGCTGTCAAACCTGAACTCTCAAACCCAAAGTAATCATATTAAGAACTCCTGGACTATTGAACTTGAGACTCTGGCATATGGAAAGGATTTCTTATTATACCTAAATACAAGAGAACTTCAGTTACATTATGGCAAAATTATCTAGCACTAGTCTCAAGTTTTGTACTAAAACTTAATTTTTAGGGCACCAGGTGCCCAACTCATAAAACTCTGACTAAATTTGAGTTAATTGTTCTTCTATAAAAATCTGGGTTGTGTCTTTATAGTTATTTGAGAATTGGTAGACTAGATGATGCATCGTAATGGAAGACGGCTTGTCTATAAAAGTTTAATTGCTCACATGGGCTGTGGCAATAAGCTTCTTTTAAGTGTATGAATGGAAAGGAAAAGGGAAAGCATCTGTTAAGAATTGGCATTAATTTGTTTGCATCATATTATCAGACTTACAAGGAGGTCTATGCTAAGTTAAGTTTTATTCTCTTTAACTTTAACATTGCGTGGGTTTTCAGCTCTAAACAAAGTATCACAATATTGTTTCCTACATGACTTATGCAGCAAAGACATGAGGTTCCCCAAAATTTCAGGAGGTTATTAAGTACAAGATTGAGAAGGCTGGTTGCACAAGATAAACTTGAAAAGGTTTGTTTCTGTTTATTTTCCCTTTTTTTTTTTTGGTTTAAAGTGCTTTTAACAAAACTATCTTCTGGATCGATTGATATGTTACTCTGAAACAGACATTTCAAGTTGCGTATCTTATATGCTTTACGCACTTTTAGTATGGTTGGGTAATAGAAACTAAAAGTTCCTGAAGGTAGTTTGCTGCAAGTTGAAGATGTTAATTTGCTTGAGTGTCTGGCTTTTAAGTTTTTTTTTTTTTTTTTTTTTTTTTTTTTTTTTTATTTGCTTAACCTTTGCTTAACCTTCTTCATTTTCTCATAATGGTGTCGGGAAAAGTTTGGTTTCCCTGCCATTTCCCGCCCCCCTATTGTCCATCTCCCGGTATCATCAAGTCCTCTCCAGACTCTGTTATGGACGAAGGAGTGGATCAATGTTGTTCTCTTTTATGGCATTGCATATATGTGGTGCTTAAACACTTAGGTTATTATAAAATTTTAATCTTAAGCTACAACACTGTCCAAAAAAATGCAGATCCAAAACTGCTACAAGATGAAAAGTGATGCAGATGAAAAGCTGCAGCACAAGGATGCCTCATTTGGTACGAAAACTCCCGTACCAAAAGTGGAGAACAAACCTCGACAATTTCAAAATTCCACTTATAGGGCTCCTAACGATTCAGTGGAGGAAGCAGCGATAGCTGCTGCCTACAAGATAGCGGAAGCGGAAAATAAGTCGTTTGTGGCAGCTGAAGCAGTGAAGGAGGCAGAGAGAATTTCGGAGATGGCCGAGGAGACGGGGTCAGTTTTGCAATTGGCGAAAGAGATCTTTGAGAAATGTAATAGCTGAATTTGACTCTTGCCTTGGTTCATATTTTGGATTTTTCACATCAAGAACTGCTTTTGACAATGCGAGTTTTCGTAACTTGACAGGTTCACAAGGTGAAATTGTGCTGGCTGCGTGAGGGATGGATCCACACCGTATTGGAAGATGACCCTTTTAATTAGAATTTGTAAATTTTTCATGTTTTACTTTCTTTTTTTTTTTTCCCTCACTCTCTTTCAGGTACAATGAAATTAATTTTTTCATTGTTTAGTTACTTTTACTAATAATTATTCGTGCATGTTTTCGGCATGGACCTAACTACGGAGGGGGGGGAAGTCATGTATATCAAATATTGACAGGCTTGGATGCTGTCATACCGTCACTTTTTGCTAACTAGAGAAGCTAGAATTTATATTACGGAAGAGTAGAACGAATTTTCTTTTCAGTTGAATCCTTTTCTTTTCCTAAAGGCTACCGTTTCACTTTGTCTCTTGCAATAATACAACAGAAAAAGGGGAGGAAAAAAGAATAAAGCAAAGTTATAAACTTCAAATTTGGCCACGCATGGGTCACGCAACTGCTTGATAAAAGATAATGTGCTAAAATTGCGTTTAGAATTGGTTTTAAAATGATTTTTTTTAATAAAAAGTAAAAATAAAATTATTTTGAGAATCATTTTGAGACTAATTTTGAAATTGTGTTTGACTGACTTTTTAAGAGATTATTTTGAGTATAATAAAAAAGTAAAATAATATTTATAAATTAATATATTATAATATTGTTGATAAGTACTAAAAAATAAAAACTAAAAAGTGAAAATAACTTTCAACTGTTTTTTAATTCATTTACAAAAATCATTCTCACTGTTTTCGTTTTCAAAACATTTACTAAATAAACGCCGTTCGTTTTTTAATTTTTACTTCTCGAAATACGTAAAGACTATTTTTAAAAACGGTTCCAAACACGCACTTAAAAATTGCAATTCTCTTCTTGCTCCATCCCTATGTGTTGCCTCCTCATTTAGCCGCAATCACGAGTTCTTATATTATTTTTTACTAACTAGTAACAGACTAACAGAAGTATTAAAATTGCAATTTAGAATCAGCTCGTGGGTAGTTTATTGCCATTTTCAATTGTAGGGACAGATGTTTAGTTTGGTATTACTTTTTCCTCCCAAAATCAACTTCTGCTTATAGCAGAAGCTGATTTTAGTGTTGGTAAATTTCCTTAAAAGTGCTTTTTGAAGAAATTTTTAAGAATCTACAATCAAAATTAGAAGCAGTCTAAAGACAACTTTAGCTTTTAGATTGTGCAGGAATCAACATAGTATAATCAATGAAACTTTCATAATACCTATAAATACCCCTAATGAAATTTAAAATTTACAATCTTCTCAATTTAAAATTCAAATTCAAATTCATAATATAATATAATAATATAATAATATAATTGTAATATTGTAACAAACAATATTAAATAAATATTATAATATTATAATATGTTTTATAATATTATAATTATATTAACTATTTTAATAATATTATTATATTTTATATCATTATTATATAATAATAGTTTTTTTGTATTATATTAAATATAATAATAAATATATATTATATTATAATTATATATATTATATTATAGTATAATATAATATAGTCGCAATTTTTAACTATCCACAACAATTCAACCTCATAATTTACCAAACGCTATTACACTGATTTTGGAACCAGCAAAGTTACTATAATTATAGTTTACCAAACACTCAGCTGCTTTTTGTAATAGCTGCTTCTTCCTTCAGCACATCTAAAAGTAATTTTTTTAAAATCTACAGCACTATCAACTAAGCCAAAGTGAAATAACCCCTTGTTCAGGGGTCAAATATAAAACTAGCACAAGTTAAAAAGAACATGAGCCATAATTTCCTTTTTGTTGAATAGATAAATTCTAATTCATAACATAAAATAATGCGAAAAACGTCATTGTAGTGACCGATCTTAGCTTATCAAAATTTACTAAGTCTTGAAATCTTTTTGGCTTAAGGGAGTCAAAGACGGGTAATCTTGACAAATACTTTTTAAAAGTGCATGAGTTTTAGTTAAATAATTACACTAATAAAAGAGTATTTATTAAAAATAAAGAATAAAGGTCCAACAAAGTAATTGAATTTAAACATGAAATGGCACCGGCTTTGGACCTTTTGTAGATATTTTCTATTAGTCCCTTGTTAGTAACGTCAATGGATTCTTATGTTAATCTCCGCTTCTCATGAGTTCTGCCGACGAAGAATTCTTCAGTAGTTTATAAAAAATACCGATAAGATTTCTACAATTTTTCTTACTTTTTTATATGATTATGGTATTGATCTAATAGTCCGGAGTGCATCACACCGTGTGAATATTTTGTTTATGCATATATCTCAAGTTTCAAAACTTTTTCCCCTTTTCCAATTAAGTGACGGTTTCTAAAGAGGGAGCAACATGATAAGGCTAACTTTTCTTGACCTTGCTTGAGGCTTGAGCGAACCCTTTTCTCCTTTTCTCAGTGCTTTAATTGATAAGCAAGCTTTTATTTATTTATTTATTTATTTATTTTTAATACGGTGTAAGGCTTACAATTCCTACTTTATACAAGAAATGAAACTACCAAAATTCGAACTTATTCAAACTTGATGGACACAACGCACCTAATCATTTAAGCTAGCCTCAAGTGGGGTGGTTGCAAGCAATTCAACAGCATAACTAACATATGTCTGGACGACTTGTTTATGAGACCGGGGAGTAAAATATAACAAGTAACAACACGTCGGAACTTCAGTACAAGTACGAGATAAAAGAGGAAAAAAAATGACATCTATGGTCGCAATCAATAACCATAGAACACAGTTAAATTGCACGTCAAAAGTACTTGAGGCAATCAACTTGACAAATCACGTAAGATCAAAATCTATGCATAATTCCAACAGATAACTGATCGCCGTTCATCTTCCTCAGAATAAATATTCACGGATCCAATATGCACAGCAAAGAAAACAAGGCGTTATTGCCTGGAATAAAAGTGTCGTCTCAACACATTGTCTCTCTAACATGCATAACAAAATCTCATCCTTTGGTGTTGTTGCAAAAGAAAACAAGACAAGAATGCTAATAATAATGACGATAAAACAGACAGTTTGTTTCAGTTTGGAGTGCAAAGCTAAAACCAAAAACTTATGCCAAACTACAACAGTACCAGCCCGAGCTCCGACGGTTTCAACTCGTTCCTTATCCGATAGTTGTAAAGATAGTAGTGAAGCTGTCCATCGCCCGGTCCAAATTTCAGCTCTTTCAGGAAGGACTCGTTCTCCATAACATCCAATGCGTTGAAAACATCGAAATCCTTCTGTTTTGCCACAATGAGAGCATCATTCATCAGCTGAAGTAATGGAGTCTTAGTGGCCACATTGTAATATGAGTAAGCGGCTTTCAGAGTTGAGTAAGTTTGATTGCCAAGGATCGACGAAGGAAGAGTGTAGAAGCTGCAGAAGTCAGTGATCTCATGAGTTTCTGGGCTCTCAACCAGATAACTATCCACTACGCTCTCGAAAGGCAGAAGCCAATGCTGCACATCATCCTCGTCAAAATCAGGCGCAACAACAAACTGGCTCAAGTAGTTCCTGAGCAACCGAGTAACAGCAGGAACATCACGAAGCTCCATCTTTCTAAATCCAGGAGTCACCGGTGAATCTGGCAACTTATACAGTTTCACAGTTCGGCTCATTGTCATCCTCGCACCAAGCCTCGAGAACCCAACATCAATGAGCTTCTTCGGGTTGAGAGACCTATGCCAGTACTGGCAAGTCGTTATAGGAGTCGGAAGAACCACTCCAGCAGTGTAAGCCGCCTGCCATATATTCTCCAAGTGAACCCTCCTAGTGACCTCCTTGATCATCACCGGTGCAAGCCTCTTCGACCTGAGCTTCTTATGAACACACAGAAAGTTGATCTCAGCCATCTTCACAACCTCATCCCGAACCCGAATTCTAGCAGGGATTCCAGTAATAAAAGCGACCAGCTTCTTCGACACCTTAGCACGAACACCAATGTGCCAGCTCTTGAAGTAACCTGGAGGGCGCAAAGCCCAACTAAGGAACTCCTTGGAATAGTTGAACCTAAACATGTTCTCATCATCCTCAACATAATTGTTCATCAAAAGTGTGTAAACCTCATTGCAAGTCTCTTCAGATTCCATGTCACAAGTTGCCCATTCATAAGGGCTGGGAAGGTTGTAAGGCTCAGGCTTGACTTCAGATAATGGTGTGGGAGGCTCAATGGGACCCTCCCGCAAACTAGAATCACCAACATCCTTAAATTGCCCAACTGGTTGGGTCTCCCAAAATGCGTGTCGTTTGCTAACAGACATTGAATCTTGAAACCTACGGACTATAGTTTCTAGTGAGCTATCCTCTTTGGAAACCGGTTTTCGATCAGAATCATGATCTGGGTTTTCTTTAACAGACCCAGGAGGAGAATTGTTATCACCCATTCCCCCGATTTATTCCTATCAACCAAAAGAACAAAAAGTTTGAAATTTTAACCCAAAATAATCAGCACCAAATACGATCTTCTATAAAAAAACAAAATAAGGAAAAACAAAAACAAAAACCCATAAATGTTTGACGATCCAGAAAAAGTAAAGCTTCGATTTCAGAATCTATGAATATCAAATTAATGAAATATAGGAAAAGAAGCTAAAACAGATCTGCGAAAGCCAACATAAATAACAAAAGAAATACTAAATTCAGAACTCACAGGATTATTAGCTTCTGATGAGAGCTAATCGGATCTTGATTTTGATTTTGGGTGAGAGAGAGATAGAGACCTTGTTTAGGGTGAGAATTTCAAAGGTTTGTGTGGAAGAAGCAGCTTGGAGATGCCTTGGATTAGGAGAATACGAGGAGTGGAGTGAGTATTGTGGGTTTTGGAGAATAAATGAATAATAACGAAACAGAGGAATCGCAAACATAAGGTTCATTCTTCAGATTACAGAACCAAACTAGACGACTTGGGTGGTGCTTTTGGGTTGATGCAGGTTGTGTCTCAGGCGGCGGATGCAAAGAAGGATGGAGCTTTCTTGAGAAAATACAGGGGTTCAACTTATGTTTTAGTCGTGGAGGTAAAGAGAAATAGCAAGGGACAAAAAAGGATGAAAAAATCGTGGCCGTTCTGGTTCAAACCCAGTGAGATTTTCAAGTTCAGATAAAACATTAACACAAATCGGAAAGGTCAGATCAAAAAATTTTCACAGAAAACGGAGAAAAAAAGGAATCATACTCTGGTGGTGGCGGCAGAGGAAATTCCGGCAACGGCGTGGTGGATCGGAAGGCGGCGGCGGCGTCCTCGACGGAAGCGGTGCTGGGTCTGGACGAGAGAGAGGCTGGGTCTGGACAAGAGAGAGAGATGGGTGAGATGCGTGGGTGAGAGAAATGGTGGAGCAAATTGTTTCCCGTAAATATTACTTTCTTGAGAATCTGAATAAGGGTTTAGAATTACTCTAAAATGGAGTAATGTGAAACTTCACTAGTTTTAAAAAATTCTAATAATTATACCGAGAATATGAAATATTCTCATTCTCACTTCTCTAATTATCTCATACTAAATGCCCCTTAGAGGTGTTCCTCGGTTCAGTTTTGTCAGTTTTAATCGATTTGGTGGCCGAACCGACCATATTGATTTTCTAAAAGTTAGAACTGAAACCGAACCGCACCTAACATTTTCAGTTCGGTTAACCGAATTTCGGTTTCGGTCAGTTTTGGTCGGTTTTCAATTTTGGTAATCAGGAAGATGACCTCAATTAACTATCAGGTTACTAGCATCTTTAATTGCATTTTGACCTGCAAGTACGAAAAAATGTAAAATTTTCCTTCAATGTAAAGTTGCAAACACGTAATCACAATAAATGAATACAAGCACAACATCAAAATTGATAATTGCACAAATACAAGTTTAAAAAACATTTAAATTGTCATAAGTAAAACAAAACGAAAACATAAAAAAAAAAAAAAAATCCCATCTCAGTCAGTTCGGTTTTAACCGACTCTCTACACGCAAAACCGAAACTGAACTGACTTTTGAGGAAGTCGGTCGGTTAACCGAACCGACTGTGTTCGGTTCCACGTGGCACCGTCGTTTTTGGTTTTAAGCGGTCGGTTTCGGTTTTACGGTTTTTTTGTACACTCCCCTATGTGTGTTTTTATTACGTTTTTTATTTTATTTTATTTTATTGGAAAGCTTCACTCAAGTCCTTAAAATAATTCATTATAGAATTAATCTCGTTAGTGGCCTGAATTTTAGGGTTCTCATTTTATTTTTTAAAATTTAAAAACTCTCACTTTACTTTTTAAATTTTAAATTATTCCACTTAATTCTTTTTATTGTAATTTTTATTAAAAAGAGACATAAAAAAAAAAAAGTTGAGTGTAGCCATGTGATTTTTATCCGTTTATTTTTAACATAAATTCAAATAGAGAGACTATGTGTCTGTTTGGAATCATTTCTATTCCTGTTTTTCACGTTTTTCAAGAACTAAAAAAATAAAAATACACTCATAAATGTGTTTGGCACTGCATTTTTTGAAAAATAAAAATTGAAAACGTTTTTTCCTTTTTCGTTTTCAGTCAGCAAAACTAAAAACGATTAAGGATCGTTTTCCGTTTTCAATTTTCTTTACCCGACTGCCCCCCACTCTTCTGGAAATGTTTATTTAATATATTATTATTTAATATATTTAATATTATTATTTATTTAATATATTACTATTTTAAATATTATTACATGTTTTTAAAATTAAACCACCAAACACAATTTTAGTTTTTTTTTTAAACTGAAATCAATCTCAGAATAAAACTACCAGACGCGTTTTCAGAAATGATTCCAAAATGAAAATGAAAACGTTTTCATTTTCATTTTCATATAAAAAATAAAATCATTTTAGAACGAGTTCCAAACGCACCCTATATGACTTCATCGCTCTCTTTTTTCTATATCTTTTTAATAAAAATTATATCAAAAAGAGTTAACCGGGAACAATTCAAAATTTTAAATATAAAGTAAGAGATTTTAAAGTTTAGAAGACAAATTAATAATAACCTTAAAGTTTAGGACATCAATGTCAATAATCCTTCGTTATTCCTCCTATAATGTTTGCATAATTCAATTTCATACCCACCCATTTTTTTAGTTTTTCTATAAGGTAAAGATAAGATTATATCGTATACGTTTCATGTTGTCGTTTCTAGCGTAATTTATTATGTTTGGGTTTATTCTTTTTTTTTTTTTTGTCGTTTTCATAATAATGTTTCTATACAAAGACGTGTTTACATGGAATTTTTGTCATTTCTAAGTCATTGTAGTTTTTCTGAGCCCTTGTCGTTAAATGCTTCCTTTTTTATATACATCTAAGAATACATAAAAGGGCAAAGCTTTTCTCTGTAGGAATGCTGGCAGCGCTTCCACTTAGTTTTTTTTTTTCTTTTTTTTCTTTATTTTTTGTGATTTTTTTTTTTTTACATTTTATATTTTGTGTGTTTTTTAAAAATGTGTTGTTCCAAACTTTATTCATATGAGAGTAATTTTTTCGCATGTATTTTTATTTTATTTTTAATTGGTTAAAATATTTTTTTAAATGTCTACTTTTTTTTTTTGTTAATTGTTATCTTTACACATTTATTTTTAAAATAAATTCAAAAATCCTTAAATGATTGTATAAATAAATTTTTCACTATCCGCTAAATAATAAACTCTTCAAGTATCTCTAACGTGGTAATATGTGCATAGCACGTTACAAAATTAGTGTATAATAAATATCACATGGTTTATAGACGATATAATCGTTTGTTAATTATTCTCATTGTTTCGGACGTAGTCCTTTTTATATGATTGCTTTTTATAAAACTAGTTGAAGCTGAGCGTCTATGCATAGATTTTGTAGGTAAAAATAAAAAAAAATATTTATTAAGGTCACATTTAGAGAAATTAAAAAAATGTATGGTGGATAAAAAAGATAAAAAAGAGGAAGACAAGGTATTAAAAAGTTGTTTAAAAAAAAGTCAAGATTCTATTTTGATATTATAAAAAATATAGGATAGTAAAAAAATGTTTCTTTATAACATATGCTACCAAAATGACTACTCGTTTTTATTGTTGTTTCACAGATGATGTCGTTTGTAGTGCCGTCTATTCTCTTTTTACGTAAATGACGTTGTTTCTTGTCACATTGTCGTTTTCCATCCCCATCTTTTTCTTACGATGTGTTTCTTCATACTCATGCATACACGTTCACAAATATGATGTCGTTTCTCGACTCCCGTCGTTCTTTTAGCACAGTGTCCAAGTCTGTCGTATTTGCGATCCTGTCGTCCACACACCTCTCACCGTCTTCCTCTGGAGACCAGGACCAGCCGAACCAGAGCTCCTAGAGAGAGAGAGAGAGAGAGAGCATTATCGGCTCCATTGCAGTAAGTAAGCATGGGCGGTGACGCGACGAACTGGGACGAAGACACCTACAGGGAAGCCATACTGAAGGAGAGGGAGATCCACACCCGAAGCGTCTTCAGAAACCAGAGCTCCTAGAGAGAGAGAGAGAGCATTATCGGCTCCATTGCAGTAAGTAAGCATGGGCGGTGACGCGACGAACTGGGACGAAGACACCTACAGGGAAGCCATACTGAAGGAGAGGGAGATCCACACCCGAAGCGTCTTCAGAACTCTTTGGTCTCCTGCCCCAAACCCTAACAATCCCGACTCCATTGTCGTCGCCTCCAGCGACGGATCCCTCGCTTCCTACTCCATTTCCTCCATCTCCATCATCTCCGAGCTCGTAATTTCTCCGAACTTTTTTGTTTTTCTTTTTGGAAAAAAAATGGTGGTTTTTCGTGAGCTTTTTTGCTTCTTTTGGTCGCAGCCATTGGGGTTCACCAACGCTAAAGCTCCACAGCGAGTACCTACAGGCCGTACTGTTTGTGTTTGTTTGTTTGTTTGTTTGTTTTCCCGTTAATGGTGTTTTTACATTGTTTTGGTCTCTTGGCGTAGCTTGTTTGTGGCAGAACCTGGTTGCTTCCTTCAAGCGCATGATGGACCTGTTTATGATGCCAAATTCTATGGAGATGGTGAAGATGCGTTATAGCTAAGGTCTCTCTATCTCTATCTCTATCTCTCTCTCTCTCTCTTCTTTTGCATTTGCGTTTGTGATTTAGTAGGAATTTAGGCAAATGTACTTTGAAATTTATGTCGAATTAGCGAAAACTGTGCTCGTTAATCTGCTTTTAATTGAAGGATTACTTGAGCTTTTCGTGTTTATATCCTGTTTTTCTTGTTGGGATTTAATTAACAATGTGGCAGTGACTATAATTTATGTTGTGAGTTGTTATAATTAGTGATTGAAAAGTCTGATGATTTTGAATGTCAAGGATGAAGTTGTGGCGACGATGGGCGGATACGAGGATGGAGGTGCTTTTCCAATTAGAAGGACCTTAAAATTTAGGAACACCAATGAGATTATTTCTAGAATGAATTACTTTAAGGACTTAGAGTGATGCTTTTCCAATTAGAAAAAAAAAAACGTAATAACAACACACATAGGGGAGAGGGGTTTTGAGTAAAGCGATTCCTTTGTTTCGTTATTATTCATTTATTCTCCAAAACCCACAATACTCACTCCACTCCTAGTATTCTCCTAATCCAAGGCATCTCCAAGCCGCTTCTTCCACACAAACCTTTGAAATTCTCACCCTAAACAAGGCATATCTCTCTCTCTCTCTCTCTCTCTCTCTCACACACCCAAAATCAAAATCAAGATTTGATTAGCTCTCATCAGAAGCTAATAATCCTGTGAGTTCTGAATTTAGTATTTCTTTTGTTATTTGTGTTGGCTTTCGCAGATCTGTTTTTAGCTTCTTTTCCTATATTTCATTAATTTGATATTCATTGATTCTGAAATTGAAGCTTTACTTTTTCTGGATCATCAAACGATATCTGCGTTTTTTTTTTTTTTTTTTTTTTTCCTTATTTTGTTTCTTACAGAAGGTCGTGTTTGGTGCTGATTATTTTGGGGGAAAGTTTGAACTTTTTTGAAATTTTGATCAATAGGAATTAATTGGTGAAATGGGTGATAACCATTCTCCTCCTGAGTCTCCTAAAGAAAACCCAGATCATGATTCTGATCCAAAACCGGTCTCCAAAGAGGATAGCTCACTAGAATGGTGAAATGGGTGATAACCATTCTCCTCCTGAGTCTCCTAAAGAAAACCTAGATCATGATTCTGATCCAAAACCGGTCTCCAAAGAGGATAGCTCACTAGATACTATAGTCCCTAGGTTTCAAAATTCAATGTCTGTTAGCAAACGACATACGTTTTGGGAGACCCAACCAGTTGGGCAATTTAAGGATGTTGGTGATTCTAGTTTGCCTGAGGGCCCCATTATGCTTCCCATACCATTATCTGAAGTGCCTGAGCCTTACAACCTTCCCAGCCCTTATGAATGGACAACTTGTGACATGGAATCTGAAGAGACTTGCAATGAGGTTTACACGCTTTTGATGAACAATTATGTTGAGGATGATAAGTTTAGGCTCAACTATTCTAAGAAGTTCCTTAGTTGGGCATTGCACCCTCCGGGTTACTACAAGAGCTGGCACATTGGGGTTCGCGCTAAGGTGTCGAAGAAGCTGGTGGCTTTTATTACTGGAATCCCTGCTAGAGTTCGGGTTCGGGGTGAGGTTCTGAAGATGGCCGAGATCAACTTTCTGTGTGTTCATAAGAAGCTCAGGTTGAAGAGGCTCGCGCCGGGGATGATCAAGGAAGTCACTAGGAGGGTTTGCTTGGAGAATATATGGCAGGCGACCTACACTGCTGGAGTGGTTTTTCCGACTCCTATAACGACTTGCCAGTACTGGCATAGGTCTCTCAACCCAAAGAAGCTCATTGATGTTGGGTTCTCGACGCTCGGTGCGAGGATGACAATGAGTCGAACTGTGAAGCTGTACAAGTTGCCAGATTCACCCGTGACTCCTGGATTTAGAAAGATGGAGCTTCATGATGTTCCTGTTGTTACTCGGTTGCTCAAGAACTACTTGGGCCAGTTTGTTGTCGCGCCTGATTTTGATGAGGATGATGTGCAGCATTGGCTTCTGCCAATCGAGAGCGTAGTGGATAGTTATCTGGTCGAGAGCCCAGAAACTCATGAGATCACTGACTTCTGCAGCTTCTACACTCTTCCTTCGTTGATCCTTGGCAATCAAACTTGCTCAACTCTGAAAGCCGCTTACTCATATTACAATGTGGCCACTAAGACTCCATTACTTCAGCTCATGAATGATGCTCTTATTGTCGCAAAACAGAAGGATTTGGATGTCTTCAATGCATTGGATGTTATGGAGAATAAGTCCTTCCTAGAAGAGCTGAAATTTGTACTGGGCGGTGGACAGCTTCACTACTATCTCTACAACTATCGGGTAAGGAACGAGTTGAAACCGTCAGAGCTTGGGCTGGTACTGTTGTAGTTTGGCATAAGTTTAACGCCTAAGACCTCTTGGTGTAGTGGTACTGGGGGTTTTTGATGGGGTGTTTTTTGGGTGGAGGATTGCGAGTTCAATCCTGTGTTGTATAAAAATAAATAAATAAATAAGTTTGGCATAAGTTAATGCACATCATCCAGTACTTAATACTTTAAATGCACCCTACTGGCTTTACAAGCAAAATTATGGCTACATCAAATTTGAAAAACAAGGAATTCTATTGTCAAAGAAAATGGTGACTTGACCTGATCAGTAGAGTTTGTAGCAACAATACTATGAAAGTAGTCCGAGTGCCCCTTAAAAACCATTTCGACTTGACAGCTCTCCTCATTTCTAATTTCTTTTTGCAATGTTCACCTTTTTTTTTTTTTTTGGGTGTTTTAATGTTCATGTTCCGCCTTTATTTATATAATCTTAATCTTAACATCTTACTTTATCTTAATCTCAGCATCTTTTCTTAATCTTAATCTTAACGTGCATAAAAGAGCAAACGGCCATTTTCATCCACCCTCCTCCACTTGCCACCTTTAAATTCTCATCTTTTTTTCTCTTCCTTTTTTGTTCTACTTTTTCAGATTCTCTCCCTTTTATTTTATTTTTTTACTCGCTTTACTCCTGTTAAAAGTAATTTTTCAAATGTGACGCTGTTTTTTTTTTTCCCGTCTAATCTTTATTCTATCAAAAGTGGCCCTTTATGAATAGTTTTTTTTTTTTTTTTTTTTTTTTCCCTAATTGGACCACAATCTACGAAAACAGTTTGTTTTCAGACTTGTCTCGATTTTAATAGTTTTTCACATAACCTTTTAAATTAAGGGGTTGTTTGGTTCGGGGATTCGTATTCCGATTTGAATCATGGTTCATAATTCGCTACAGTATTTTCTCTCACAAAAAATATACGTAAATTGAAAATAATTCTAATCTATGAACCAAACGTCTCCTAATATTTCTCATAAAGATCTCTAATTTATTCTTGCTGAGGTTATATCTCTTAAATATGTCTCTATTTAAACATTTTTCTCGCAAGCCTCTCAGGTAATTATTTTTCATATGTACCGCATAATTTTATTTATACTTGCTTTATTGCTTTTACTTCTCTATACAAATTTAATATTCGGTTAAAATGCACATATTCATCGAAATGTTTATAAAAGAGTCAAACTTCTGCCATTGAATCTAAAATATTATTGTCTCTCTTAAATGTCACCCTTGTAAATAATTATTTTATTTAAATGTCTATTTCTTGCGGTCCTATTAAATATTATTTTCTCATAACTACTCATAAGTAAATTTCTCTCTAATTTTTCCTATATTACATTTTTTTTTTCTCGAACTTGTAATTATATAAAGAGATAATCTGTTCTACTGCAAGTGTTTAAATCATAATGAGCTCTTTTCGAAAAAGAACTGTGAAAAATTATTGAAATTAGACATAAGATGCTTAGGTTTATGAATATTGAATAAAGAAATAAATTATTCAGTATGAAGTAAATCATAAACCATTTGAGTGCCTCACACTGGTAACACGTGCGGAGCATGAAGAAACTAGTTTCCAACAAAAATCAGACAGGCATTATCTTAGATCAGGTATAAAATCAAATCATAGAAAACTGTTAATGAACGACTGGCAAGGAAAAGTCATAATATGATAAGAATATTGGATATTACCCTTATAAAGAAAGCATACCAGATCTCAACAATAAGGACAACATGATCATCGCAAATAAATTTAAAATGTTGTCACAAATAATCATTTTTCCCGCGCTTAGTTTTTGGTGAAATCTTAAAAAGATTATTTGTGATGACAAAGAGAAAATGTCGTCGCAAATAATATGAAATTTATTTGCTACAACAAATGTCGTCGCAAATAAATTTAAAATGTCGTCGTAAATAATCATTTTTTCGCGTTTAGTTTTTGATGAAATCTTAAAAAAATTATTTGCGACGATAAAGAGAAAATGTCGTCGCAAATAACATAGAATTATTTACGATGACATTTGTCGTTGCAAATGGCCTTTATTGTTGTAGTATAAAGAAAGCATACCAGATCTCAACAATAAGCACAAGAATCACCAGCAGCCGAATAAACGGATGCCCTCTGAGAAAGAAGACATCGTTTCAGAATATAAATCTTTTTTTGTGACCACTCCAAGATGAAAGAAATAGAAGATACAAAGCAATTGAAATATAAAAGGGGCACATAGTTTTCAGGGATTGCAGATAGAGCTCCCCAAGGACCTCTAGAAAGCACAATAATACAAGACATGAAAAATAAGGAGAAAGTATTAAGCAGTATGTGTTAAGTGCAGATCACAAAAAAAAAGTTTTAAAGGAAAAAAAAAAAAAAAAAAAAAAAAAAAAAAAAAAAAAAAGCCCCTCCGACACAAAGAAGAGCTAGTTCAAACATATGACTCTAAATAATTCTAGCGCATAATAGTTGTTCCAAAATCTTATGCAACGGTTTTAAAAAGGCCGAACATGAAAGATCCTACTATTTAGTATCAACCATGCACTTGCACAATTTGAATCATGTGTTAGAAAATCTAGGGAGGCAATTAGACTAGACTGGCCGCTCGCTTATGCTTCTTTGGAATTAAATTAGCGGAAAATTAGCGAAATAGTCATCATCTTCGATAACTTACTTGTGTTGAGGATTCACCTGGTCCAATTCTGGCTTCACGTGCTTTTCCTAAAAAAACATAGAAAGGATAGCACATAATACACGCTTTAAGTACCATGCATAGTGTTGGTAAACCAAATCATTATAAATGATGCAACAGAAGTATTTTACTGGCCTAATCTGGAAGGAAGATGAGACTCAAAAGTCCAATCTACTTAAGAAAAAATGAGAGAAAACACTCAATACTAGTAATAGTATTCAATATCATTAATCAAATCTAAGTATTACAATAGGTATTGTGGCAATTTATAGCTCAAACACAAAAACGATAACAAAATATCCACTAAGACAAACAACAAACTAATAAACAACAAAGCCAAATTGATACAGGACATTGCAAACATGTAAAAACGAAGACAAACAACAAATTAATAACCAACAAAGCCAAATTGATACACGACATAGCAAACTTGTAAAAACGATTATTACAACTGAAACCTCCTCCATCAATAAATATCATTTACAATGCATAAGTCGGACAATCTACAACGTATGATTGTAGAAAAACAAGTTCACAAGTTACATTATACCATGAAAAGGAATAGGCACATTAGACTCCGTACAATCCTTTCACCTCCATCCTCGTATCCGCCCATCGTCGCCACAACTTCATCCTTAACATTCAAAATCATCAGACTTTTCAATCACTAATTATAACAACTCACAACATAAATTATAGTCACTGTCACATTGTTAATTAAATCCCAACAAGAAAAACATGATATAAACACGAAAAGCTCAAGTAATCCTTCAATTAAAAGCAGATTAACGAGCACAGTTTTCCCCAATTCGACATAAATTTCAAAGTACATTTGCCTAAATTCCTACTAAATCACAAATGCAAATGCAAAAGAAGAGAGAGAAAGAGATAGAGATAGAGAGACCTTAGCAATAACGCATCTTCACCATCTCCATAGAATTTGGCATCATAAACAGGTCCATCATGCGCTTGAAGGAAGCAATCAGGTTCTGCCACAAACAAGCTACGCCAAGAGACCAAAACAACGTAAAAACACCATTAACGGGAAAACAAACAAACAAACAAAATGACTACACCGTTAAGTTATAACTAGTTTTATACTACAACAATAAAGGCCATTTGCGACGATATGTTATCGCAATTACTTCCCATTAAATAAAATAACTATGTCATCGCCAATAACTTAAATGTCATCGCAAATAATTTTAGAGCGCAAATTTCAATGGCGCGAATTTTTGCCGCCAAGGTAATCCATTTTTTGCGACGACTTGTTTCATGTTATTTGTGACGGCATTTTCTCTTTGTCGTCGCAAATAATCTTTTTTAAGATTTCACCAAAAACTAAACGCAGAAAAAATGATTATTTACGACGACATTTTAAATTTATTTGCAACGACAACGTCGTCGCAAATAAGTCTAATCTAATATACCCTATCGTCTTCCTCTTCATTTTCCCCCGACGCTTTCTCTCGATCTCTCTGCCTCTTCTTCCCCTCGCCGCCGCCGCCACCCATTGCCACCGGCCCTCTTCTCTCTCTCTTCCCTTCTCTCTCTCTCTCTCTTCCCTTCTCTCTTCTTCCCCTTTCCGGCCACCGCCGCCGCCGTTCCTCTCTCCTCTTCTCTCTCTCTTCCCTTATCTCCCTCTCTTCCCTTCTCTCTCTCTTCCCTTCTCTCCCTCTCTTCCCTTCTCTCTCTCTTCCCTTCTCTCCCTCTCTTCCCTTCTCTCTCTCTTCCCTTGCTCGCCGCTGCCGGCCAGATTCCGCCACCGCCCCACCGAATCGCCCGTTGTCACCTCACCGTTCGACATTTACCGGTATGTTTTACACACTCCGGTAACTTTTTTATTGTTTTTATGTGTTTTGTTGAGTTGTTTGTATAAATGTCTAAATGAAGTTTCTAAACATTTACTATGAGGCTGTGTAAATGTTAATTTCTGACGTTAATTTAGAATTATTTTTGAACTAGTGGTTAATTTATTAATTTACATTATTTGTTAACATAATTAGATTTAATGTCGAGGAATGAAATTTTTTTGTGTATTTAAATATGTTACTCTAGATGTTAATAAAATGTTAATTTTGGTCACATTAAATTATGTTCGATGTTTCAATTTGATGTAGGCGTTTGATTTTTCACCTCCGTCGCTATTTGCCCGGTTTCTCTGACATAATCCTGCTATTTTCAGCCCTCGTTTAGTGGGTTTGAACTTTATAAGTTTTTTATATTTATTGTACTTTTAGTTTAAAATTGTTGTAGTTTTTGGTTGTATGAATTCGGGATAATGATTTTGATATTTCAACTATGATTTTCTTATATTGTTGAAATTTAGTATATGTTTGTGATTCTTGTTCTTGGTGGCACATCTTGCAGCTATGGTGTGCCGAAATCTTTTAAAGTTATTTTTCTGCAGGTTTAGATTTTTGGATCATAAGAAAAATAAGCCATTATGTTGCCGAAATTTAGTTAGAAAATGAGAATTTTAATAAGTTCATCAACAAACTTTAATGAATAAAATTAATTGTGTTAATAAAGAGTAAAATTAAAAT